GAAATGGACGGTTACGGCCGTACACAGGCAGTTCGGCGGAGAAGGACGTAGACAGGAGCGAGTAATCTGTCGGATAATCTACCGGGAATTCTGAAATCCGTCTGTCCTAATGGTTCAGACGTATCAACAGAACCAATAAAAAGTTTGTTTGGAAAATTGATGTTGGCAAACACATTATCCTCGGTCGGATAAAGTACGCTGAGCTTTTTAAGTGGCGTATTATTGATATCACTCCATATATATATTGGATTTTGAAAATAAAATTTCGTATATAGAACCAACGATAAATATCAAAGGAAACCGTATATTGTCTTGTGTAAAATTGTGTATTCTCATAGATAACAAATAAAAGGATGAGCATCTGTGACAGAAAATAACTCTTGTTACCAACATACGGTTACAAAATATAGCGCCAGTTGACGGAACATGGAACATGGTATTCAATAACCAGAGTTCTTATCACTCGTAGTGAATTTGTTTTTATATTTATTTTGTTTTGTTTAAAGTTGTGGTTTTTTTCACAACTGACGGAGGTTACCTTGCTACACGTACCTAAATGTAACTAACAGCTTAGTTATATTGACGATAGCAAAATATTTTAGTTTATCATTATTAATCACCCGGCAAACACATGATATTATTATAGTCTTGCAGTCTTATAGTCTTCTCTTCCGTCACAGAACGCTCTGTGTATATAAAATGTAGGGATGATGATTCATTCCATTTTTTTAAATTACCTACGGGTGTTCCAAAGGTAAGGAAATAAAAATGCTCAATAAACAACCTCAACGTATAATGCATTGATCGAATGACATACGCACATGTATATCGTCAACATATAATATAATGCTGGAAGATTTTATTATATAATTAGAATTAAAATTTATAATTTTATCGTGTTATAGTAAAATAATTTGTTTTTATAGCTCGTTAAAATTGTATTCCATATAGCTTTTAACTAAAACGGTTTGTTATTATTATTTTTTTTTTTTAATTTATTTTAATGTACGTATAGGTACACATTATATGTTTTTAATTCAAATTCAAATAAAACGGTGACGAATGACATATTGTCGTATTGGACAGCTATATAATATAGCACACTTGCACACTCGAATAATTTCTTTATCGGTATTATACTGTTTGGTTTATCTGTAAGAAACACTTAACGGGTTTACGTCAGTATTCGTGTGTATACTCTTATAATATTGAATATACAATATTATTACGTCCGTCACAATAATTCGACTTGTATATAGATTTCGTACGCCGCAAGTAGGTATATGTGTAATATACAATATCCCTATGGATCTCGTGAATATTATTACGTGCAACGCAAATCGATAAAATAATTATAACAATACTAATAAAACAAAAAAAAAATGACGTAAGCATATAATCATATTATGATTATATCGAACTTTGTCGGTTTTTTAATAATATAAATAATATATTATAATTATTGATTAATAATATTATTATAATAAACAAAAAATAATGAATAATAACGATAATAAGTTGTAGCGAGTAAACAAAATGTAAACCGAAAAAAAATATGTTTGGGTATTGTAAATTTACCCGTGAATAATTTTCGGATTAGACGAATAAATCATAGGTTTTTATGAAATTATGAAAAAAAAAAAAAAACTATTATAAACAAGAAATGCAAATTAAATTCAATTAAAATTCGTTCTGCGTTTTAAAATTCATACCGTAATCGCAATCAAGAGTCTAAACCGCCTTGGTCTTGGTAATTAATGGACATTATTTAAAGAATCGTCTATTTGACGTCTATTGTTATGAACTGCAGCTGTGCACATTTTACAGTACCAAAATCGGTTTAACAGCGCCGTCCGATAACTGCGTGCTTGGTAATGCACGCTTTGAAAATAGATAACACAGAATGCATAGGCCATTAGCCTCCCTGAGCGTTCCTGCATGATAATAGCTACGGGGTAATATCATATATCTGTGGGTAATACTGTAGACGTTTCACCTCGAAGTGTCGAAGTATGCACTAATACGCAAATCAACGTTCAAATAACATTTTAAATTTCAAACGAATAAGTTTAAACTCCGATTATCGTGTTCAATACGCAATTAATTATTAGTTATTTTAATTAATAGCAATTATTATAGTAGTGATTAGTCGGAACGATGGTTACCTACTGGGGCTATCGAATGATCGAGAACATCTTTTTAACAGAGCGATTGATTATATACTTGAAATTCGTAAAAATCACGCCGTTAACAGAAAAAATACAATTTATTTAGTGTATCGAATGATTTAGTACGTTGTATTTTTTTATTTTTTTCGTACGATTGCTTAACGGCATAGACCAGTCACAATTGGTTAATCAGATAGGTATGTCAGTTTAATAAAAACATGTTTTTATTTGTTAAACTAAATATAGTGTAACAAACAACTATAATATATATATATATATATATATATATATATATATATTGTTAAAACAGTTAGTTAATTATTAAAAAAAAAAAGTTAATTATTAGCTTAAAAATAAAAGTTAAATGACTCAGATAATATCGTTCGTCTTTATAATACTGTACACTCAATAATAATATCCAACAATTGAATTTCCGTTGTCAATTCCACGTCACGGTCTGCGATCAATTTCGTTTGGTATTTACCCACAAATGTCCCATAACATTATTGTTATTATGTACGATTTGAGGTAAAACCAGACTACGGTACTGCAGTACCAGTATCAAATATCGAGTTCAATCGTTCGATAAAAATAAACAATATAACAAAATTGTAAAAGAAAAAAAAATCAATCAATCGTATTACTTAAATTATAGTTTTCGATCGTATTTTACTGCCTACTAGTGTCTACTGGGACATATATTGTACCTGAACTTTGAGAACGCTATATGGGTATTTACGTATTATAGGAATGGCCAGGCCCGGATTAAGATAAAACAATACTCTAGGTAAGATTTTCAAGGTACCCGCATGTTTCTACCACTCATATTTCATATATTAATATTTACTTACCTTAACACTTTATTTACACAAATATCAAACGTGTATATCTTTTATTTATACAATCGATTTATATTAAACCTTAATAAGTAATCGACACAATTTATTAAACATTCTCTTCTTTATGTGCTCGGTCTATCTACTGTTATTGCCTTCCTACAAATCTTCTCCAATCCGCTCTGTTTTCTATTTTCCTTTTTATATGTATGTATTTTATGCTTGTCCTGTCATAAAACCATCTGTTCAGATTTCTGCCCGTATTTTTGTTATTGCTATCGACATTGTTTTTATTTCGCAAACGTTTATATTTGTTTTGCTGTACAGTTATTTATTCTATTTGCAATTGCTCGAAGCACTTTTTTCGACTCTAAAACTAGCAACAGCCTGATCATCTACAAATCTAATCGCTATTTGACCTCAGTTCCATCTTATGCTCATCCAATTTCTGTCGCTTCCAATTGCTTTATCCATAATGTTTGCTGAATATGCATTAAATAGGTAGGCTTTAGGTGATAGCCAAACTTGCATTCTATTATGCGACCTTGCGTTCTAAGGAGATTATAACATAATTTTTTTGCGGTTAAAAATTGTAACAAAATATATTACATAATACCAGTTGATTTGAAAATCAACATTTTGACATATAATGGAAAGTGCCAGGGTAACGCACCTGCACTTCGTCAGATATACCTTTCTTTTACGAAATTATTGTCTTTTGATTTGGTTGTAAACTTTCGATCAAATTAACTATTTTATTTGGGATTTGGAGTACTTTTTTCCAACCAACTGTGTCAACTATTGACTATGACTATTCAGTCATTAAGTATTTAATTTAATAAATTATAGATTTTTTTTTTGTAACTTTTGTATTTTAGCAAAATCGTTTAACGAGCTCTTCTAATCTATTGATTTCCAAAATTTCTGCTTCGATATTTAATAAAATTATTGCATTTTAACGGTTATTTTACATCATGCATGTAAAAATCAAAGTATCAAATTGGCCAAATATATTGAATAGTTTACTATATGGGCGGCACATAAACATTTAAGGCAAAAAAAAAAAAAAAAATTTTACTCATTACGGACATAACAGGTACAATTAAATTATTTGTTAGTATTTTAATAAGTTTATCAGAATAATAATGCAAACCAAATATATCATTCTCTAAGATAGTTGTGACACGAAATTAATATTTTATAATTTTAGATTCTGAGTGGAACGAAGAAGCTTATGGTTTTACAAAAATGTTTATTATTTTTATTTAATTAATTTACGAAATATAAGTATTAATTAAATAATATTTCGACTTTTTTTTCTGTTCACAACTTTTCTATACTAGCAATTTTGCTCCGATTTACAATGATATCACTTTTTCTGAAAGTAAATCTGAGGAATATATGAAATACGTTCCATTATACATCGAGATTTATCATTTATAATGGGTATAAAGTCGACAAGAAGCCTCTTAGGATGCTTGATAATCACGGTGCTCTATCGGCAAATGCCTACAGTCTGCCCATACGTTAGTCGAAGCCTAGGAATTGCATAACCGTTCTATATTATCTATAATGATTTTTCAGAACCAAATAGTCAGCAGTTATTGGTTCTGTAAAATTTCATGCCACCCGGCGTGATGATTCTATCGAATAATCGAAGTCGTTGAGTTTTAGTACTTATATACCTTCCAGTCTAAGCGATCCATAAGATACATAGGCGTACACGTGGATTCCTCCTTAACATTAATCGAATATACAAAGTTAGCAGACATGAAAGCTATAGCTATTGACTGTTCTTATAATAACAGCCAATGCACTAACTTGAAGACAACCAAACATCGGCGACATTATACCGGCTAAGAGGAAACTTCTAGCTGACGTAGTGACTAACCAACTACTCTATGCGACATCCAGTTGGGCCTTGTCAGTTGTCAAGCAGGAGCACTGTATGAAACACCAAAGAGCAGCTTCTAAAAAAACAACTTTTAGGGTCATAATGGCGTATCGTACTGTATCGTACGAGGCAGCAACACTTCTGAGTTCAATGATTCCGATTGAGCTATCTGCATTAGAATACGAAAAGATACAGAACATTACTAATGCAGGGGAAAAAGCCGATATAAGACGCCAGACAACCCAAGATTGGCAGACGATGTGTGACTCGGTGTCAAATGCGAGATGGACTCACCGGTTGCTGCTCGACGTTACCAACTGGATCTATAAGAAACACGGCATGCTGAACTACCACATAATCCAAGTTCTTACAGAGCATGGGAACTACCTACACAAGTTCAGGATCACTGAAACACAGAAATACATCATTTGCGAAAACCCTAAGGATAATGCGGAACATACCATCTTTGAGTGTGATGCTTGGACTGCAAAGAAAAGAAAGTTGTACGAAGGGCTTGGGGAAAATCGATTGCCAGATAACATCTGCAGAAGGATGCTATCCGACAAGAAGTCATGGGAATTGATTTCAGACTACATGGAACACGTAATGCGCACACAAATTAATGAAGAGCAGAAGCTGCAATAACAACAAATAATACAAAAATAAATACCCTTTGTTATTTTATATACTGCACATATTGCATTACGAATAACGCAAGGAGGGGTTATGCATATTGTTTCCTCTTCTAGACCACCAGGTCTGTTAGTTTAAGTTACTAGTTTTATTTTTTGTTTGTTTTAAAAATTTTGTAAATTGTTTATTTGAATCAATAAATGAGACTAAGCGGAAAGGCAGTAATGCAATATCAGCCCCTCTTCATTGAGTATTTATGAAAAAATAAAGTAAAAAGTACTTACATACCTACATGATTTATATAATATTCTATGTTATAATATTATATTTTATTGTACGAGAATAATATATATTATTAAGTATTATTATTATTATTTTGAGAAATTCATTCAATTACATTTATAATCATTTAATTTAATTTGTTATTTAATCTATATAATATATGAGTATATACAGCAATCATTTACACTGCATTTATTATTGCAGATTAGACATTTTCGTAATATAAAGATAATATAATGTTAAACGAATTAGTTTTTTTTTTTTTTTTTTGTAAATTCATAAGTAGTGTATACTATTTAGTGCAATAGTTTTGTGTAAACGGTGTCTATGTAATCGTACGCACCCGCAATTATTCAGCGTTTCAATTATTTTCTTATTGAAAAAAAAAAAAAATTAAACTTGTAAAAAAAAATTGCTCGTTCAAGGGCATAAATTATTCGTTCAAATAATACAAATAATTATTGTTATCTTAAGAAAGAAAGAAAAAAAACTTACTTATTTGTAATACGTCTTGATATATTCCAACAGAATTAACTAATCAAGTTAATATTCTTATAATGTAAGATATATACTATAATCTGGATTCGAGACTTATATAGCACTTAAAAACAACAACGAAAAAAAAAATCGTTTAAAATCTTCATTATAAGCTCTTAATAAGCTTAATAAGCCTTTTAAATGCTGAAATAAGCCATACAAAAATATTTTAAAAAGCAAAAAAAACTGTCAAAAAAAAGGCGCTTTCGAATTTCATATTAGAACTCTTGAATCGTTTCAATACTATACACTAACGGATTTGCATGGCTCCGTGTGACCTGTATAGCGACGACCGACGCGATAAGAAGATAAGCTAACAAAAACAAACAAATATACTAGTCGGATAACAGAAATAAAAGAGAAATAAATTTAAAAATCATAAGGTGAAAAATATGAGTTTTCTTCAAAGGTTTACGTAATCACAACGTAGAAAATATGTGAAAAAAGCAAGAAATCGAGTTAAAACATAATTTTTTTTTAAATAAAACAATAGATTTAAATAATCAGAAAAAAAATCACTTAAAAATTGAAATTTTGAACATTTTCGTTACAAAGCATAAATTTACACGCGGCTAAATTTAAAATCAAACCAAAAATATATCAAATGCTATAAGCAGTGGCGTGCGTACGGAGAGGAAGTAGTTTAAGAGGAGAATGGAGGGGATAGAGTTCCTGTTTAATATTTAAAGTAAAATTGTTATTCCTCTTTAGTTTAAGTTATTGAAGCCCGGGAAAACGCAATAGTTATTGTCACCGAGACATTTTTAATGAAGTTGTAATTAGTTTTATAAAAAAAGGTCACCTTGGATATTGGGGATGAGTGTAGCCACTGTTATAGGTGAGAAGTTAGGTAGTAGAGGAGAAAAACTAAAGAGGACATAAACTTGATTTGTCGAGTACAAATAATTAGCTTTTAAACCATCTCTGTTGAGTTAAGCGATGTCACGAAGGGCGCTTGGAGGTGCAAATTCAACCTTAATTTGTAAAAAATATTCAAGCACTTTTAATAATGTATTATGAGTATTTTCAAAAATGTCTTAAGTTATTATAATATAATATTACATTTGCACTTATAGTAACTAACTGAACACAAATTGCAATTTTATATAATTTTTTCCAAATTTATCAACAATTTTTTCTGCTAAATTAATTCTTCGAATTTTTTCCTACGTAAACTTAACATGTATAATCCAGATAAACAATTATCATACATTAGATAACCGCAAATTGTCTATCCATAAATGATGGGCTGTAGTGGTTGGTACCTGCAAGTTTAAATCATTGGTCATAAACCAGGACATGTTGTAATAGTAAATTAACGGAATTCTTCTATCGGAAAGTATACCTACCGACTAGATACCAATCGAGGTATATGAATAAATATCAATTAATATTGCACCTTGTTGGTACCAATAATGAATTTTGGGATTTTGAGATATTGAATTTAGATATGATTATTTTAACTTGTTTGAAAGCTAAGGGGAAGTTAACCTTTCCCCAACCCCCTTGTGGATGCTCTCGAGTGTCACAGAAGACTATTCTACGATTTATTTACGAATTACGTATTCACGACTATATTATTTACCGCATCCCCTCTCGATGAAAATTCTTGGGCACGGTCACTGGCTACAAGTCCTGAACACTGATTATAATACGTATGGTATAGTTATACGGTTTCTACCGATTAATAATTATTCGGCGACAATATAGTTGTACAGCGATAGTATTAGGTTTTTTTTTTTTTCATTTCTGTAAACCGATAACGCGATAGAATTTACAAAAATTTAAAAATCATATTTTATTACTATCTACAATATGGGTCACCAAATACTGCATATTATGATATAATTATAATTATTACGCGTAATAGTTTAGGATCTAGATAATATTAATGTAATCTAATATACGAGTGTATTTTCCAGATAAAAAAAAAAAAAATTGAAAAAATTGAAATTTTTTCGTGTGCACAGATAAGATAAGCGCGATATTTTAATCGTTCGTATAAATATTTCTCCGTTATACGACGTTATAAACGACAATCGGAAAGCGTGATCTGTAGATACGTATGTATAATAATATACGATTACTGTACTTACATTTTTTTTTTTTTAATAATAAAAACAGGGTTGCGAAAAAAAAATTTGTTTTTGTTTGGCTTAAAACATGTTTTTGAATGTAACGTGTATGTTTTCAACAGGTTCAAAACCTACTATTTTTTTTTTTTTTGTTTCAAACATAATTTTTTCCATTTCTTTGTGAATATCGTATTACAATAATAGTTAATTACAAATAGAATTGTATTGCAGTAATTATTCAAGAACGGTTGAAAATATATCACTTCCTTATCCAATAACAGTAATAGGAACTATGTGTTTGTTTTCATTCATATTTTCGGAACGAATAGGAACTGTATACATTTTACGCACTCTTTATTAGTCGTTTTAATTGGATTTTAAACAAATGTTTAAAACACTTCGCAGCCATGAAAACAATAATAATATAAGTATGCACGAGCGCGAAATTTCAATGGTGTGCAGCAGGCGTACATGTGTAATAAATAAATTACTAATTAAATAAATAATTGATTGGATCGGGACGCATATTATACGCTACATGTTACATTCTTGGCGAAAATCTCGACAGTTATGAAGTGCGAACAATTATAACGATAAAACAAATGTTCAAAGTCGACGTTATAATTCGCACCACGGGTGGGTCGCCGTGGTAATAATTACGTAGTTATAGCTGCGGATCTGTATTGAACTATCGCGTTTAGCGATTATGCGCACTAAATTTCTTATTAAAAAATGCATATTAATTGCATAAGCACCTATAGAGATCGATCGGATCAAATCGATTTCGGGGCACAGGTTGCTGGCGACGTCCCGGCCACCCCGGCCTGCGGCCCGCGGCCGGTCCGCGGGCAATTTCATACGATACACGATAATGTACAATTATTGTTGTGTTCGAAACGATACGATATTATATTCTCGCGGTGTGCCGCGCGTTATATTATCGCGTGTACAATATTACCGTATAAATCGGAGGCGGTCGTGTTCAACGTTTGTTTTCTGGCGCGGCGGCGTAGGTAGGTATTAAACCCGAGGGTTTTTATTATTGTTATTAATATTTTTATTTTTTTTTTTTCTTGTCCTCCCACGCGATAATATTACGGCTGCCGTACCTATATATATATATACATAATATTATATTTATACTGCATCAGGTAACTGCAGCAGCGTTGCGCCGGGGAGAGAAACTGCGCGGAGTCGTCGTCGTGAAATTTGGCACACTGCAATATACATAATAATATATTATGTACCTGCCTATTAATCCGGGGTACTTTATGCACTATCTACAATTGAACAGAAAAAAAAAAATTCCACCTCATCGGACAACTTTTACTCGCATGCAGTCGTGGCGTAGACCCGAGGCGAAAAAAAAAATGTAGGAAACGTCAATTTGATAAATCATATGCAGGTACGTGTGCGCGTACGCCTGCATATTAGACGACGCGTATACATGCAGATAGAAAATTTTTTTTTTAAATATTCACATTCGAGCGAAGACCTTCGTTGTAATATTATATTAACGGACTTATCAAAACGGCCATCCTTAAAATCTCGAGAGTAAAATGTAAAAAGAAGTATGCAAAAAAAAAAAAACCGTTTGATCGCAATCGTTATAATAATTATATTTTATACATTTTATTTTATTATAATTGTATATCAAACGGGTTTTATCAATATATTATTTATTTATTTTTTTTTTTATTAAATTTCGTGGTGGCTTAAAAAATTAATATATTTTAAAAATACGACACAGCATATATACCGATAGCAGTATTTATTATATTATTATAAAAAGTGCATTATTATAAATCTCGTCGACGTCAAAATGTATACGGAGAGGGTAAGAAGGGGGTGGGGCAAATACCGATTTATAAAAAGCGTAAAACTAATAAATTTCATCAATGGCAGCGGTGTTTTTTTTTTTTTTTTTTTTTTTTATCACGTACATATATACCGACCTACACAGTTTCCGCTCTCGAAGGCAGAAAGTTTCTAGCGGTACTTTTCCTCGTGGTGACGGGTTAGGTTAGGTTATGTTGGATTAGGTTATTTTTTTCAATATCATACATATATACAGGATGTCCCGCGAAGATATACCCGTTGCAATATTTCCCGAGATAA